AATGTTCTAAAGCAGCGGTTCTCAATACTGTTCCTCATGTCCCCCTGCTCTGCACACGCTCTGCATCTCTCTCTCTTATGCTGCTCAGCTCCAACAATGAACTGTTCCAATTATACACTTATTTTCACATAGCTATGAGAAGCGTTAAACATGGACGCGCGTGCAGTTGCCGTACTGTATTAAAGCTTTAATCAAAATAAAATACAACCGGAGCACATGCCGCCGAAGGGAGGGGTGGGACGTTTAGACGCCCACTAGAGGCGGTTTAGCCAATCACAACACACTGGGCTAGCTAGCCAATCAGAGCCCATCGCCTATTTCTGAGGGAGGGGCTTCATAAAAGAAGGAAATGATCAGCCCGTTTCTCAGAGAAGGGACAGAGCGGTGTGGAATAAAGGTAAATTATGTGAAAAATAATGTGTTTTTAAAAAAAAAACAAAGCAGTAACACATGCTAGACTGCACCCCATAAACACAATCAAGCCTAGAAAAAAACCAGTGAACCACCCCTTTAAAAACCTCATAGCATCATGCTATAAATCACTTAGAACACCTTAGAAACCATGTAAGAATGCCCTGCTTATATACCCACAACACATTTGCATCGTGGCAACAGGTTTTTCCTAGGTAAGCACCATTCATTTCTTTCAGAACATGTAAAAATAGTTTTTTGCTTTTGTCGTAATATATTTTGCAGTCTAGTTCATTGGCGAAGCTGTCTATCTAGGCTATGTATCCATCCATCACATATCCAGTTGTTTTGACAAAGTTTCTTTATCTTTCTAATAGGACAGTGCATATTTGACCATTGAGGGAAAGAGTGGAGGAATGAGTTTGAGACAAGATCCAAGTCCCAGGAGTAAAACAGCTGTAGTTGTCATGATGATCGGAATACCTGACATCATCTATTAAAAGTTCAAACACAAAAAAATCTATACGGTCACAATAGGAAGTTGTCTTGTTTTACCACTTTACCCTCAGGCTGCACTGCTGATTACTTACAGTGCTATTTTATGGCATTCATTCCTGTATGAGTGTACAGTTACTTAAAGAGCCGTGTCAAACACGGCCCAATATGAAGATAAAACAAACAAGCCATCCTCACGCCATAGGCTCAGAGAGACAAACAAACAGCCACACAGTGCTCTTCTCCACTGCAGTGGCCTTGTGGCTGCGAGCGTGAGCTGTGTCAGCTGTCAGAGACAGGCCAGATCACTGTTATCTGCCCCTTTATCATCCCCATTTCTGACAGCTGACACTTTCAGAAAACCCAACTCGATTTCTCACCCCCAACAAGACCTTGCAGATGTGAGTAGCCCTGACCCTTGACCCCACAAGCCTTTCCTTAAATCTTCTCAGACAGTTTTCGGTAACAAACAGCCCTGAGTCACAGCTCTGTCACTCAGTGAGTCAGGTGATGAGGCGTGCATTTGAGGGAGATGCTGGAGGAAGCTCTTGTAATGAGAAAAAAAATGTAAGATTGAAGTGTTTGCTGTTGACTAGAGATGCTAACGGTCTACCACTGAATAATGCATTAGACAGTGATACCATGTCAAATGGGCGTCTCCTTCCAGGAAAACCCATCCCACAGGATAAAGAAAAGACATGTGACCACACAATGAGGATAATGGATAACCCTTGTCCCTCCATCTACCCCTCCTCCATTCCACTTCCCTGATTCTTCACTTCTCTAACTACTTCTAATGTGGGCACAAAATATGAGAACCTGCCCAAGCTGTGATCATAAATATAACAAAATGAATCTGACCTCTTGACAGGTACAGGTCTATAGGGGTATGAAAATATCTGAACTGAAGTGACCCATATGGATACCACTGCATATGCAGTCAATGAATAATGATTTTGACTAATGAAATTCCATGATTTTTCCATTATGCAAGATGTGCATAAAATGATTTTTCAGAAATAAATTGTATACACATTTTTAATAAAAATATATTTTTAAACAAATTACTGAATACATATTTAAAATATTTTTTTAGTAAAACAATCTAAATAAAATATATTTTTTAAATAAAAATAAAATAAAACTGTTCCTTACACAAAGCCATCACATGGTTTCAGAGGCTATTTTTTGAATTATTTTTAAAGGGGTCATAGGATGCCCATTTTCCACAAGTTGATATGATTTTTTAGGGTCTTAATGTAACATAGTTTGGTTAAAATTTCTCAATGGTAGTATAAAAAACATTTTTTACCCTGTCAAAAACAGCTCTTTTCAGATCAAGACGTTTTTGTAGCATTTTCCTTTAAACGTTAATGAGCTCTGCTGCCCCCGCCCCTCTCTTCCGAGCTGCTCTCAGAGAGACGGCCTGTCTGTGTGACGTCACACAGACAGGCATCTGAGATCGGCTCGATTTGAAAAAGTGGAAAACATTTAACCAGATTAAAAAAAAACACTGGGTGGATTTTTATCATTATAGGGTGGTTGTGTACATACACTGCCAACACACATTTCAGTTCAAACAACTTGTAAAAGTGCATGTAACATCCTATGACCCCTTTAAACACCTCAAAACAAAACAAAAAAAGCTGTAAGCTAATTTTGGGAGTGTTAAAGGCAATTTAATAATCTTTCAAAGTCCAGCCTGCCCAAATGCATCATCTAAGCTCCCATATTGTTGGAGTCAGGAAGTAAAGCTGTGCTGATTACAGAAGTTGTTGCAGCACAAGTGATGGCTGAGATGAAAATCACTGTAGTTTCCTGGAAACTCTTGATTCGCTCTGCCTCTCCGTCTGACCTCAGCGGAGCCTTCTGTCTAATACAGAACCTCTCTTATCTTTAAAACTATCCCTCATTTAGTCTAGCTTCACTCCTCACTAATGCACTGCTCCCCTCACTTCTGCCATGCCCTCCATCAGTTCCCCTCCTCCCTTAAGACTGCTCTGAGATTACTGTGCCGCACGACTGCCTAACGCGTTGCTGTGACAACAGCTTTGTCTGTGGGTGGGAGGTCCCAAGGGCTGAGAACCAAACGAGGGGAAAAACACAAAGACACACACACACACACACACACACACACAAGGGAGAAGCTATACGGGGGTCCTCACCCGAGTTTGCCAGTCAGCCCAGGATAAGCCCTCCAGACTGTAGCAGGATCTCCTCTCTCGTCAGTGCTGACCCGCCTGCCTCCTCTCTTCCCCTGAATGCTAAAAATCTGTCTCTCTTGACTCCTCCTGCAATAAACAGAGAGAAATTGTCTCATCAGATCACAAGCGGATGACACCAAATGCAGGTGAACACACACACACACAGCATTTGTAGAGTAAACACTACCTGTCCTGATTTGTCGCAGACAAGAATAAAGGACAAGGATAATATATGTAATTTATATTTAGTATTAGCTTCTCTCTCTCTCTCCATATATATATATATATATATATATATCTAATGATTCGCACGAACATAGATGCATTTATGTAGATCAGGGGCACATTCCCTTCAGAAACAAATGTAATCCACTGCGAGTTCAGCGGCTCAGATGTCGGGGGTAAATGATATGGGCTCTATTGTGAGCGCCTACATGTGTACGCTTTCTCATGCAACCTCAATACCTGATTACTAGTGTAAACCAAAGTCAAGGTTACATTAAGACAAAAGAACAAGTGCTGAAAAAAAAAACAGGCCTGCAGAGATTTATTTCATTAAAACATCTAAGCCACTGTTGTTTCTTGGGATGCAGCTGTGCTGATATCGACAGGACAAAATCCAATTAATCTTTCCTATAAAAAGGTAAGAGGATTGTAGCTTTACACCTACACACAGATGTAGCTTGTGCGTAGCCAACATCCATGTGAGCTCCACACACTCCCTACATTATTCAGGTAGTCATGCTGATGTCATTATTAAAGTGGTTTCCACCCTGTTGGCCGCAGATAAGAACAATCTTACGGCCGCCCACTACAACGCACCAGAGACAATATGCAATACTGAGCTAAATCAAACAATCCCCCAACTGACAAAGCCAAAAGCCCCTTACATTTACATCTATCTTTCATGAGAGCAGCTCAGATGGATGACTGAGGAATAGTGCTTTCCAGTCCAAAATTAACACTCAACAAGAGCCAATTTAATGTTAAAATTGGCTCTGGCAAGAAAATGTATGAAGTTACTGGAAAGTTGGCCATAACTTTTGTTTAGAAAATACAACATGGTTTTAAACAGCAACACATATTCTGACCTTTGCTATTTAATCTGGCATCAGTGAAGTGAGCAAATCAGGTCTGATCATATCAGAGAAATAGCCTAGATGTTCTATGTCTGTCGTTTGTCCCTCAACAAGTTTTACATCAGAAGAATTACCATTAGAATCTAGACAGGAAGTCTAAAGAAAATATTTTTAACAGGGAAAAAAGATTTTTAAAAAAAGCCCAATTTTATTTTCTGTATTTATAAAAAAAAAAATTTATTCAACATCCCATTGCTCAGTTTTCCTCCAAAAATGTGCAAATTGCAATATCTATGTAGGCTAGGATGTTAAAATATAAACATTACATTCTAAAACACAAAAAAATGCTTTTTAAATTAGAACTTAAAATCACTAAATTAAAAATAAAACTAAACGAGAAAAAAAAACAGGGATGAGGTCAGAGGAACACATTCACTCATCTAAACTGTGATTATATTACTATTAATCTACCACATTACAATAGTTCCTTTACAGTTACTGCTCTCATAAAAAAAAAATATATATATTTTTTTGCCATATGTACAAATTTCAAACAACATCTAACAACAAATATCAAGCAGGTCAGTATCTGTCAACACACCTATCTGTCAAAGAAACTGATAGAGCAAACTGCCCTAATTTATATGTTTACGAGCTAGTTTAAAGCATGTCACACGTCTCACTAATTTTCAGATGTGCCTGCAACAAACTATATATTGATATAATCAGAATTGTCTTGAATACATATCCTAACAGGTTATTCATACTGTAAATGTGCACTGTCAGGAGAGGGGAGGCACTCATCCATCACTGTCCCAGCCCCGCTTCAAACCACACTTCTTACAAGCATGTATTAATTTAATATTATTTTATTTGAAATATTTTTATTTTTATTTTTTTAAAACACACCACATTAACAAAGTTTGTTTATCTCTAAACCTGTTTAAGCTATGATAACAGACTCAGCAAATATCAGGATATGAAAATTCTATACTTTTGCCAAGCAATTACAGCCAATAAGGTCATTCTGTACCCTGGTGCTGTGCAACGAGGCTTTAGTTAATGTCATTTTACAGAGCGTGCACACGTATAAACACAAACACGTTCACACCAACATGGACCGTCTTCAGGATATTTTCCCTTCCCCCCCACTGTATGACACAACACGCAGTGGAGAGCCCCAAGACTAAAAAACATATAAATAGAGCCTCGAACCATCTGCTGCTCAAGAGCTTAAGTAGCCTACTTCAAACCCTCCTGCTTCATTCAGCGGCAGGCTGGCCACAACTCAACTACAGCTCGGCCCAGCACACTAAGCCTCTGGCCTCTTACACAAGGAATAGGGACATCTGGGTGCTTACAAATAGAATCGTTCCTTTACGCTGGTGTAGGATCAGCTCTATCAACTCAAATCCGAATCTTAGCCTTTATTAGATAAATAATTAGGCTGACCTATGATAAATGCAAATGGAAAGGCTAATATTTCCCAGTGTGGAAGACTAGGCAGGGATGAGGCGAGGTAGATTAGGAATTGCACGTTCGTGGTACATGCAGGTGTTTCAAGCTAGAGCAGGTGCAGCGCGGCTGGCCCAGAGGCTGTGGGTGTGTCCTCACCGTGCCAGCCAATAGGACGTGAGCAATAGTGGTGACTGTCTCAACAACCCTGTTGTTTTTCATTCCACCTGGGAAACGGTCCTCACAGATACTGCGGCTGTGAACACACACAGTGGACTCTCACCGGTCACATTCCTGGCAAGCTTTTGTAATAGAGTAGTGTCACTAATGCAAACGAAATGAGAAAGTAAACAAGGGTTGTCAAAGTGACCAAGTGTGAAAATGATCAAGTCCAAACATATTCATATTCCACTTTACACATGAATAGTTATTTTCACTAGTTCTGTTGGCTATAATTTAGGATTATCAAGCACTATTCATAAAAGATTGGCCCATTAACAGAAGTGCATTGCACTGTTTTTCGCAACGCAAAAAAACACAAACAAAAATTACAGAATGTAGTTCTTAAAAAAAAAAAAATGCATGCATTGTACATAAATCAGTCAACCAATAATTTCAA